ATTTTAAAAATAAAAATGAGCATGTGCTTGAGTGTGAGTAATTAATACTTCATGTTAAACATGGCACATGTCTTGTCTAAGGTTTTGGCCACACTACAAAATTTAAGGAAAAAATGCGAGACATGCAAGAGTACATCTATACATCTAAACTGAGATTAAAAAGTTCAACTGCAAAACACTTACTTCTAAGAGAGTTCTGCCATTTTCGTAAAACTTCATCTGTTCAAACCCACATTCATCCCACGGGAATAAACAATGAGTTCGATTACAGACACTTGAATTTAGAACTTTCATAAGACGGCAGCTCCTCATATAAGATGCTGTGTTTGTCAGTTGAACAATATAATAAAAAGCAGTATAGAGTACGTATTATTTGATACATACCAGGTACTTTACATGGCTACATCTAAATACCTAGTCAGATAAAGGAACGAGATTGAATGAGAGGGCGATCAGGCTCCCTACAAAAGTAGGATTTATACTGTTAATAAATCCTTCTTGAGGGAAATATTACGAACTTTGCTTCCGAAATAATCATTGTACACAGGGCAAGAACTCAATTCTAGTCTAGCTCGCGACGTACCGTGCAGAGCAGCATGCAAGCGACCTCATGCTAATACCATGACGCGGATCATCCAGAAGCGCGCCTGGTGCCGCAGGGTGCGGGTGGGGTTGAACAGGAACCCCAGCATCAACAGCAACAAGAGCAAGGGGCTGACAAACGGGGGCACCCCGAGCGCATCGCTGTAGAGGAACACTGGAACACGTTACGTACGAAATAAACCAAATACCCAGTCTCCAAAAAAAATAAGTACTTTGTAAAAAAACATTGGATCAATCTTTATAATATACGATTCTAAACGTTGAGTTGACAATGAAGAACAAAATGCACGTAAGAACCAGCCATTCACGCAATCACCCAGACCATACCCAGCACGCTGAGCGCCCAAACGACGCCAAATATGGCAGCCAGCTCCATGATGTGCTGCTCCGACAGGTGGTGCCGCGGGTCCATCTCGAATATGAGGACATGGTTCACGCCGGACGATCGCCATCCGTACACGTTGATACCCAGGAGGAAGATGAACTGAATGACGAGGAGGGGGCCGCGGTACAGCCGAAACACGATGCGCCAGTCCGTGGCACCGGAGCTCGTCGCAGCTGGAATCATAAACGGGTCTTGTGTACTCGCCCAGGCGCGCGGCCACCGCCCACAGCATAGGCCACAGCCTGGGGCCGCGACACCGCTGCGCTGCGGGCGTGCCTACCTGACACCCGCCAGGCGCGCTGCCATGCCGCCTGCAGCATAGGCCACATCCGGACCACGACACCGCTGCGCTGCGGGCGTGCCTACCTGACACCCGACAGGCGCGCTGCCATGCCGCCTGCAGCATAGGCCACATCCGGACCACGACACCGCTGCGCTGCGGGCGTGCCTACCTGACACCCGACAGGCGCGCTGCCATGCCGCCTGCAGCATAGGCCACATCCGGACCACGACACCGCTGCGCTGCGGGCGTGCCTACCTGACACCCGACAGGCGCGTGCCCGGCAAATACAGAATTAGCTATAATATTTTTATTTTCATCACTTCTTTTAGCAAATGATGCATATAAAACATTTAATACTGAAACTAAAAATAAATGTGCCAGAATGCTTGAACTTGTACCGTCGTGTTCCACGAGGAGAGAGGCACAGGCACAAGGCAGGCCATTAGATTATAGTGCGGCAACACAGTACTTAACCTCTACCCCCCCCCCCCTCCTCCCTGTACCCCGCTCCCGCTAGGTCACCAGATTGCAAGCCAAACTCGCTTCATTTATTAGTACATTTTTCTGCAAAAGTTTGTGCTACGCAAACATGCGTCACGTTTCAGACAAGTTTGTCCACAAAAATGCATAATTTTGAACGAATAAATGCACAAACGTTTTCAAATCGACGCAGCAATGTGTGTGAAATATTAATTGCGTCAATTCGTACAAATAAAAGATACAAATTCAGTTAGTGTGTATGAGGGAGAATTGGGACACAGCCCGAGGGGGAAATCACTTGCGTACTAGCTCGTACACCCAGGCCTGTACTAAAGACATACTAAACTCGTACTAACAGCGTAATAACGCGTACTAATGGAAGAAATCAAGCGTAATAGTGCCGTTATAACATTATTTTGCAAAAATGATGAAAAACTACGCAAAAATAGGGTGTACTAACGTGTACTAACGTACTAACTCGTACACTTTGATCTGGAGTGATTTCCCCCTCAACACAGCCCTCTTCTTAAATATGTGTAATCATCATTTCGAAGATCGATTCTTGATTGAGCCTAGCTGCCCGCCCGCCTATCCGAGAACCGCGGTGCGGCGCGGCGCCCGGCCCTGCGCGCCACCATACGTTATATGTCATCCGCTGCGAAAAGAAGCTCACCCGCTATGACGACGGCCAGAAAGAGCACCACGAAGGAGCCCAAGAAGAGCCCGAGCCTGAAGGTGGTCCAGGGGCTCTGCTGCTCGTTGAGCGGCGGCACGCGCAGTCGCTTCATGGCGCGCTGCCTGTCTCCACCCTCCAGGTTCTGCGTGACGGCCGCCTCCGTCTCGCCGATGAGCCGCCCTATGTCCTTGTTGGTGTAGAAGTGGCTCGCCTCCACCACGTCCCGCCGCCAGCGCGCGCCCACGTCCACGCTCAGCAGCTGCAGCACATGTCATGTCAACACACAATCTTGCCACGGCTGCCGTTTAGCGATTCCCATTCTTCGTCCGCTCCCAGGATGCCATAACTCGTTATTGAAAACAAAAATCCGTTCCGTTTTACATGGAGAAATTTGTTGAAAGACAAATTGCGATAACTGCACTCTAAACTCAGTGGTCGCCCAGCTTGCCAATATTTTGTCACTCCTTTTTGAATGCCAAATTTTGACCATCTTTTGGTGTCTGTCAATTTTTTTGCCAGTTTGCTTCCTTAAATTTGGGCTTTAGGGAGGCGAAAATGTTGGCCCTCCAAAACAAGAGCGCTGCGATTTATTTGCAATGCGAGTTGGAGCGATGAATAATGGGAATCGCAGAGAACAGTAGTTAGCTAAATTTTTGTAGTCAGTATCGTAATTTTCGATTACAATGACTGTCACTGTTCGGTAAGTTAACCAGCACTACTTCACAAAAAGACGCAACTTTAACTTTATTTTCGTTTCCATCAGTACCGGTGGGCCTCGACTCACCTTGTCGTGCTTCTTGAGAATCTTTCTGAAGCCGGTAAAGTTGAGATTTTGATAGTTTTGCAGGAGGATGAGTCCTAGGTAGAACTCGGAGAAGGCGAGCTTGAGGTCCTGCACCTTACGCACGGGCGCGCTGGTCCCCCTCTTGAGATGGTAGCGGTAGCGCGCGCCCCAGCCCCCAGCCGACAGGCCGCCCTCGGCAGTCTGGGCCTCGATCATCTCGCTACGGAGCGCGCTGTACTTGCGCTGCGCCTCTGCCAGTTTCTCTGCAGACCGAATCAAAATTTGGAGGAAAGGGGACGGGGTGTCTCTTGTCTAAGAAGAGTACTGACACTGCATGACTTTTTTCATAAAGTTTTTTTTTTTTTTTTTTTAAACAGAATTTTACTTGCCACACAGAATTTACAAGTGTGTGCACTCTTCAGCAATTTAGCTTTTAGCACAGACTCTACGTTGTCTACGAGCGCACATGACAATGTTCACATACACACTACCTCCCGAATACGTGGTCATGTACTACGCATTTATCTCGTAGGAGCAGGAGCTACACTCGGGGGCGAAAATCAGAGCGGATCATTTTTTATTTGGGGGAGGGGTCGATTAGGACAACTTGTAGTGGAGCTAGAAACGACACACTTGGAAGAGGGTCTCTGATGAGTCCACTTGATAGAGGGGCAAGTCCGTTGCCTGACCTCTGTTGGCCCTGTTGCGGTCAGAATCCCCCCATGTGTGTAAGGGTGGAGAAATCGACAAAAATCATGACGGTTTGGGATGTTCGGGGTTTACAAAATCGCCCTTTTTCAAGTACGGTCCACTGGCTGCAGGCGTGGGGCGCTGGCGAGGGAGAGGAGGGGAGGCTGCCACTCCACTATGCGCCCCGGGCCTGCAGCCCCTGCAGCCCCTGCAGCCAGTGCATAGGCAACCCAACATGCTGGCATGTCTTAACCTGGACACCCGGTATCAAGGACCTGGAACCATATTACAAACGAAATTTCTTCGTGTTACAAATAGCATCACTTCGTATTACGAAGCCGAGCCGTTCGTAATACGGAAAGGATTTGTTTGTATACGAAGGTACTACACAGTACTACAGAGAGTAGTAGATGAGTGAGCCAGGCCAGTGGAGCGGGTTGGAGCGGCGGAGCTAGTGGAGCAGAGGGTGGGGAGGCCAGTGGAGCGAGTCGCCGAGGAGGTAGGCAACCCATCCAGCACGCTCAGGAGCTCTCGGAAAGCGAAAATAATCGGCGAGGAGCGGGGCTCGAACTCATTCCACGGCAGTCGAGTGTTCTAAAGCTGACGCCTTAGACCACTCGGCTATCCTGAGCCGTGGAGACCACCGCTCACGGTGCTGGATGTCATTCATCGCTCAGTCAGCGGTCGGCCCGCGCTCGACGCAGCGCGTGCGGATGCACGGTCAGCATCTTTCAGCGGCCATCGCGGCGTGGCGGCCATCACGGTGGCCATCGCGGGAGGGCGTTGCATATGACACATCAGCGGTCGGTCCGCGCGGCGCGAGTGCAGATGCACGGTCAGCATCTTTCAGTGGCCATCCCGGCGTGGCGGCGGCCATCGCGGCGGCCATCGCGGCGGGCGGGAACGCGGGAATATTCAAAACGGATCTGGCGCAACATTAGCAGCGGTTGTATGAATTTTGGAAAAAGAGGGGAGGGGGTATGCTTGAGAGCCGATACCTATAAATAGGGACTGTCGGATGGGTATGACAGAGGATATTCGCTTAGTCGCATGCTTTAAATCTCTGCGTCGGAGTACGAAGGTGGCAGGTTCGAATCCCACTCGAGTTGTATGTGATTAAGCGAATATTCTTTTAGAAATGCAAAAGAAGAAACGACCAACTTTATTGGAACAAGTAGGCCTGAGCCGAAACGACCGAATATTAGCAACGTTTTTATGTGCTGGCCGACTAAAGAAAGTGCTTAGTAAGCCAGCACCTACACCGCCGATTTATGTCAAACCAGACTGGAAAAAATGATGACATAGCACTGAAGTTTAAATAGGTGGGGGGTTGCAGGTGCAACCTACTCTATTGAGTATGTGTCAGCAAAAACTGAAAACAAGCACAGTATATAAGTTCTTTAGCGTTGACAGCGTGCCAGAGTCGCTCGTTGTGTCTTGTGTGAAGAGAACGCCTCGCCCGCTGCAGCTCAGAATGGAGTCCTATCCCGGTCTGTCTGATCTGGCTCTGAGAACGATGTCAACTTTAACGGAGGAAGAAATGGGAGAAATGCTCGGATGGAAAGTCGTAGACCCCGAGACATTGTTTAAAACCTCACCTGTACCTGGTAAGTAATTTTCAAAAAAGTGTGGTTAGGTTGTATGAATTACTGTGAGGTAACGTGTATATCGTGTGTCCAGATACGGTTGTCGCAACTCCAGCTCAAACTGAACCAAAAGGTATGAACAGTGACAATAAATTATCATTTGTGGGTTGATAAAACCAGAATATTGTTCTAAATCTCGTATTTTTGTGTGTGTTGTATGTAAAGATCCGAGGAAACGAAGGAAGTATACGCGCAAGGCTGCAGCCAAAAAGGTCGTCGACGATTCATCGAGATCAACTCTGTTGCACTGTCTTAGTGCTGATGAGTGCAATGCAGCAAGTTGTCAACATGTGAAGCAGTTTTTGCAGAGGTTGTTTGCTTTCTGTACTGTCAAAATGCTAAATGTGTGATAATGGGAAATAAATGTATATTAAGCACAGAAAAAATTGTGTTTTTCGAAAGATATTTATTTGAACCCCAATATTTTAACAACAGAATCATACATACAATGACAAAAACTACTCATCGAACACAAGTTCCACATCATAAGTTCCCGTCTCAGTTGTACCGTTATATACAAAGTACGGAGCCTGTCCAACAACAGACATACCATTAATAGCATCAATCTGCTCATCAGAAAGCCTAGCCAGTCTCGTGGGCATCACGACAAAAAGACTCTCCCCACCCACATCTTTAAGTTCTGCCTTGATCTTCCCGCCGAACTTGGTAGATATGCGGGTCATGCAGCGGATCTCGTAGCGTGTCTTTGGCTTCAGATCCTTAATGCTGGTGAACTCGGGGCTCGCAGCGATCGCGTTGAAAGCCGCGGCTAGGGCCTGCTTGTCCAGTCCAGGTGCATCAGCCATCTGTGGGAAAACAATACGACTGGTATCAGAAAAGTGTGCAAATCATAAATTTGACAAGAGACTGCATCAAAGGCAGAAGGCACCCTTAAAAACAATGAAACGAGAAAACGCACCTTTTTTCAATAGATGAGTCAAGAACTACAGTCGAGCAGAGAAGGTGGGTGGACTGTTGATCTGACGGCTGGCTGAGCGGCGGTGGCGGTTCTTGTTGGTGTGTCGACAGCAGAGCACGGAACACAATGCGCTCCAGAGTCGACGGCGCCCCGTTATATGGGTGTGCTCAGGGGTGGATGATTGCTGATCGCTGCAGAACTTGCAGTAGCGGGTGGAGAGGTGGGGGGAGAGCCTCAGCGTGCTGCAGGGCAGCCCCTTTTGTTGGCGTGGCACAACGCCGTACAGGTCTGAGCGTGTACTGAACGCAATGAGGCTCGCGCAAAATGAACCGTACAAGTAAATACACGATTAAATAATTCGACAGCTAACCTATCATTTTTATTACAATGCCTTGACATGGTTTTCAAGAAATTCTGTACAGAGTCCTCGGGGTTACAACACAAATATGCGAATATGCAGCTGTATTCACCGCAAACATCAGAAGTGTCACTTTGAATTCTTTGCTTAATATTATACAATAATCCACCATTTAAACCAATAAATTTAATAAAGTAAGGGTTAGAAGTACTACCACCCAGACAGTCATATAATTCCACTCCACTTAAATTATTAGGTAAAAAGAATGTAACCCAATGTGACCCGTCCATGTTATCTGTATCCTCGTTTGCCACGAGCACAGCAGGGCGAGGGAGAGGCGAGGCGGGTAGACAGTTTGCAGCAAATACCCCAATAAAGAATTTCCTAGTGAACCCGTTGGCTGATAAAACTTTTTCAATATCTACAGTATCCATTTTTAATAAATTGAAATATTTCTGTCCGAGTCAATAGTAAGTACAGCATCGTATTCCAGCAATACCAGGCAGGTGAGGGCCGTCTGCAAAGGGAGTGCAAAGTTAATCTCCGCGCGTACCACGCCAGCATTGCGTACGCTTGTGTGTCCCGTGTTGCCGCTGCGATCTGGAGAAATATCCAAGCAGGCCATGAAAGAAGCGTGTTGAAACATCTGTGGGGTTATCATCATAGACGCGGGGCGCTTATCGGCCCCGGTTGACATGATCAGACTCTGATAATAGGCCTTCTGGAAATTTGGGCTGGTTGAGTGAAAATCTATTGGGCCAATCTTATGCTCTTGCGAATTCACAAAGAATGTTACAGAAGTTGCAGATTTGTGAACGAAAGTAAAACTATTCTTCTTTCTATCTCCATTAAAAACAGTGTTGTCCAGCATTATCAAACACATAAATGTTGGGATGGGCCCGTTGCAAATTGAATTAAGGTGAATATTGGAACTGCCTGGCGGGGATGTGTAAGTTTTAACTTCCACACGTTTGTGGGGAAATTGGGCATTAGCCTGACTGAGAATACGCTCATGGGACAACATCAAAGAGGGAGACACAATCACATTGGTCAGGTGCAAAGTAATATCGGGTACATGCA